TGCCCGCTCTTCCCACCCTTCTTCTCTACTGCCGAGAAATTGACACTGATTCCACAGCAACCAGGTTCGTTTTTGATGTTGCTTCCCAAAAGTACTTTGTAACTTTCTCTAAAGTCTGTGCATGCTGACCGGCGCATTATTAACTGTTTAGTTTCCCCAGAGATGGACCAAGTGGTTAGAGCGTGGATTTACTGACCCGAAGGTCCGTAGTTCGAACCCGACCTCTGCCTCTCGACTTCCTGTATCTAGGCTTGGGCAACCCCAAGGGCTGTATCCCAGCCTTCGTGCCTCCTTCATGTGGCATGGCGGCTAGGCAACGAAAGGGTGCTACAGCTGAACGATTTTTTTAGTTTCGCGAAGAGTTCCGAAACTTCTAGTACTCGGTCTTTTTTTGCCACAGCGAATATTTTCAGGCTGGGTTTGCAGGTTTACCACAATTGTTCTACACAGTGTTCACTAGCGTTTTAACGATGTAACGCTTTGATTCTTTGTAAACAAAGTTGTATGGCTTCTGCACGAGGCAACCAAAAATTTCATCATTATTGCGCATCATCATCATCATCAATGACAGCAACATCAGTGTTGGCACTGATGCTTCACTGCCGTAATTATTTTCGCAAATTTCCTCAACAGCTGCTCGAGATCTTCCACTTATTTCGCATTGGGTTCGTCAGTTTCCAAAATAAAAGGACTGCCTCTAGTCCAACAAAACATTGTGTCCAGTACCGAGCGTATACTTAGTCGGGATGTAAACACTGGTAAAAACATGTAAGGCGCAGACAGACAGCATTCATCCCAAAATTTGAACAGTTTCAACAATATGGTTGGTTTTATGGATGCCTACCAAAAGGATGATCCAATAAAAACTCCACTGAAGGGTGATCCGAAAAGCCTGTTCCACTTCACAAGGGCCAGCCGCGTTCTTTCGGTTCGTGTGGATGGTAGCTGAAGTAGTTTCAACTATTTAGTATGCCATTCGTGACCCCCCCCCCCCTAGTTTGACTTTTGAAAATAAAATTCACAAAACGGCATTATAGTCCTTGACTTTTGAAAATAGAATTCACAAAACGGCATTATAGTCCTTTTGTGCCCATGAATCTATCTGAGCTCGAGATAGCTCTGTGCTTAGGGCGCAAACTTACTGCCCGCAATGTCCGGGTTCGAACCCAGCCTCAGCACATTGGCTGTCCTCTCTAGGCTTCGGTAACTTGGCCCTCATAGTTCCTTCGGGTGGTGTTACAGCTGAACTATTATTATTGTCCTTCAAGTTAATTAGGTCTGAAATCGTTTGGCCGTAGTACTGTTTCACACACTTTTTTTACGCTGCTGTCAAGACTGATCGGGGGAATCCCAAGCAAAATAGGAATCCATCCCAGTGCTCCGACGTTCACTTGTTAGTAGTCTGATTGAATGAACACTGCCTACCGAACGGGTTATTTTTATCGGAAATTCACTTCTGTCACCCAACATGTCAACTTGAAGTGTGCAGTTTTCCAAAGCATTCGCTTTATCATGTTGTTCTGGTTGTACACAAGCGTTGTTGGACGGGATTGATAGATGCTCTAAAACGTTGGTCAACCCAGATTGTTGGTAGTAACGACAAACTAAGCTGTGATTTGTTGTTTTCTCTTTGTCCAACGTCCTTTCATCTAATGACTGTCAAGTGGCACTGAATGGCAAAATATAGGCCGGTTGCTCTTCGGGACATTCATCACCTCGTTAGCGCGGTCAGACTTACCTGTTTTGTTTTTTCAAGGTCAAACTAGAGAAAGTAGCGAATCAACGCTCCAGCCACATGCGAAACAAACCCGTGACCTTCCTGGCCGGTGCCAAACCTTTTTGTGATCTCACGCACGTTTCCCTATTCTCTTTCTGTTAAGCGTGTGTTGGTGTCTCGCAAACCATGCATTGTTGTCTTCCATCACCGGAGTACTGATTTTCAATTCCGGCCGAAATTCATAGTGTGCGAGTATGTCTACAAGTAATGTGTCCTTATGAGTTCGAGAAACCGTGATTCCTAAACGGGGGGGCTATCTCCTTAGTCCCCTTTCTCCTTAGTGCTCGACATTTCCAAAAATACGAACTTTGTGCTGACCTACAGCATGAATTCCAGCACAAATGGTTTATTATTTCGACCCCCAAACACCTCTGTATCTGAAACGTGTTCTCCGTGTTGCCTATGGACGTGGATACGAGCACACCGTTTTTCATCTAGTTATTGAGATATGTTTAGTCTCATAAGCACGAGTCGAGGGTTTCTTTAAGATGAACTCGACACGTGTATTTTCACTGCTACCGTAGTACTCCGTCTTCATCTTCCAGACTTGTATTTGACTCGTGGCTTGAAGTGCGGTTAATAGATATCGAGGCCGGTCAAAGGGCTCTGGCGACTGCGGTATGGTTGCGAACTATAATGGATCGGTTGATGGAATTGCGGCTACAAGGTGAGCAATGGTGCCCATTGTGTGAATTGCTAGACAACTCATCGTCACATTACGTCAGACTGCCCAGACAAACCGGATCTGACCACGGCGGACATATCTATTTGAGTCTCTACATCCTGGACTTGAAAGTGCGAGGGGACAAAGCCACCTTTGTCCTGTTCGGGCCGTTTGTAGCTTTTTCATCAGCTGGCCTTAGTCTCCTATTTCAGGTGCCCTTTCAGGTGCTTTTATACCTGCCCCATCAAGGATGCTTCTCTTATCCACCTTTATGTCAATTTTGAGGAAGGATGTATCAACTTATGTACTGTGCCTGCATAGTTTTCCAGGGTATGTAACCACATTAACTCAGGTGCATTTGTGATCCAGTCAGATGCTGCATACAGCGATCTCTCAGCTACGCCTTGCTCCTGATATCATGTTTTCCTCTTGGCGGATACCCGGAAGAAATATACGAGACGTCACTATGGACACCGCTGCGTTTGATGCGTTCAGCTTATTGCTCGTTCAGTTTCATCCGCTTGTCAGCTGATCCCTGTCATTACCCTATCGAACAAGATAATATTCAGTTCTTGATCAATTTTAGGAGGCGAGATGGTCCAAGTGGTTAGAGCGCTAATTTGCTGACCGGAAGGTCCGTGCTTCGAACCCGACCTCTGTCTCTCAACTTCTGTCCAGACTTGGGCGACCTGACAGTATTCCAGCCCTCGTGCTTTCTTTGGGTGGCATGGCAGCTAGGCACCGAAAAGGTATTACAGTTTAACGAGTATTGTTATTGTATAATTATTATTACCTAGGCAGCGCAAGTTGTGGTCACATTCCAGTCTGAACAGAGATCGTTTTATCCTAGTAGTCAAATAATTCTCCAGCAGAATCACCATTTGTTTGAGAGAGTTGATAAAGAGAAGAAAGCCTAGTTTTCTCTGTCGTGCGCCGTCTAATTCTCATGCTGATGTTATATGTTAGTGGTTTTCCATGCGCCTTTCATATATTTGAACAGAAAAGTTACCTTGGCTACTGTTTGTGACGTATTTCCATAGCCAATTGGTGTTTTCTCGGGATCACTAATTCACTCGACTATTGCATAACAACAGACATTGGGATCTCTTTCAAAAATCGTCCTCACACTTAGGTTCTGCTATACTTTTATCTATGATAACCACCCTGCACACCACTTGTTCGTGTACCATCAAGGAGTACATTATTGGTTCCCTCTTTCTTGCACCACTTTTCCCCTCATCCTAGAATGTGCACAAAAACGAGAGCGACAGGTTGCGATTGACAGTGGTGACGTGGAAGGAGACCAGAAATCGGAGCGACTGGATGTTAATCCTGAGGTGGAACGTCGTTGTCGTAGGCTCCGACGTATCCTCGCTGAGGGCCTAGCTGCTTTTCTTGCCGCGTCTCCTGGAGGTCCCCACGCGATCAAACGTTTGCTCGCTGCGGATGTGAAGCAACTGTTTCGAAAAAGGCTACCAGAGCCACCAGGTGAGTCTTTAGTCGTCATTCTTACTTTGACCTCTGACCAAATAGTTTGTGTTAAGCTAGGAGGGCTGTTCAAACCTGTTGGAGGTTGTGCTCACCGAAATCAATCATTCATAGAGGTCAGTTCGAATAGAACCTGGATCTAGTGACGTGGGGTATGGCACCTAACACATGAACAATCTAGTTCGTCCAAACCGTTGGCAACCACTTGCTCATCGTGAGACTACATATTTGCGCAACCGCTTCAATCATAATCTAAGATTGTCCTTAGAGGACAATCTAAACACAGTTGTTGCACTCAAGGGTCGGTTTGTAAGTTTCCCCACACATAATGGATATCGTCAGCTGATCTCCACATGTCGCCATATTCTCATTTCTGACAGGTCATTTCGGATTATGCAGCAATAAACCAGATTTAAACCCCCCGCCATTACCAAACCCCGAAGTCGGTTCGAAGATCGAGATGAATATGAGCAAGGGTGGCTACAGAGTCACATGCTACCTATCGATCGACTCGTACGTGAGTCTTCCTTTCTGACGCCCCTTCTTTTGACTACATATTTTGCCAGTTTTTAAGCTCAGTTCATTTCAAATGTGTCTCCTTGGACCACAGGATCATTGTGGCGACCACCCATCAACCTCTTCAGATGAAGTCAATGAGGGGCGAGATGGCTCAGTGGTAAGAGCGTGGATTTGCTGACCGGAAGGTCCGTGGTTCGAACCCGATCTGTGCCTCTCGACTTCCCCTGTCTAGGCTTGGGCAACCTGGCAGTATCCCAGCCCTCGTGCTTCCTTCAGGTAGCATGGCAGTTAGGCACCGAAGGGGTGTTACAGCTGCACGATTATCTTATTATATTTATTAGTTTGTTTAAAGTACAAATGAGATTAGGTATTATTCCTGCTTTAACCGGTTGCTGATTTTCCCAGAAAATTAGACTAATCGTTAATAGTTGAATCTCTGGACTTGTATATCCTCCTATGTTTGCAGAAGACGTTATAATTACGAAGCCGTGGACTTTTGACGGATCATAGAGACCCGCCAGAAGGACGTAGGTGCATGTTTCGCCGCTCACCGGGAACGTACCCACCGATCACAGCCGAGGCATACGAATTAATGTTAACCTTTGTTTATGAACTTCAGACAATCTGGCTATGAGGCCTGTGGCCAACAGCCCCAAACTGTCAGCCAAAGGGTCATCTGTCCTATCTCTGTGTTCACCTAATGAGCTCCAGTAAGAACGGAAGGCCTCGACTCTTCTCGGCTTCCGGTGTCTTCACAAATGAGGTTATTCCCACTCTGCTAGTACAGGAACTGATGAGCCGCAATCAGTCTTCTACGGAACTGGATGACTTGTTACCTTATTAGTCGCAATTTACTCCGTCAATCAAATGTTGATTATACTGTTCCTGAGATTTTGTGGCCGATATGCCGCATGAGGACTTCAACGTGTGTTCATATTCTGTTTAAAGTAAAAATGCGATTCCGTCTTCACTTCGGATCACCAGACCGAATGTGTCGAGTCCATCTTCTTGCTGATGGCAGTCACCATTAGACCTGATGACAAACTGAAATCGATTGAAACTAAAGCCTCAGGATGAAAAATCTGATTTTCAAATCGTGTATCATTATAAAGTAATTTCAAAGGAAAGTGTCCATGTTTGAAGGACAAATGCAGATCGGGAGGAAAACACCAAATACTCGGAGGTGGACGCTTCAAACTGATTTTATAGGTTTAATTCACAATGAAAAAAAGTCCTCATGCCAAGCCTCATTGTAAATCTTACGGCAACAGTCGTGGTAGGGTAAATACCCAGGTAGGTAGATTGCTTAGGTAACTTCTGATGTTGACACCCCGCAACCTACTTCATGCTCTTTTCATGAAATAGAAGAACCGTGGTTGAACTACGGATCGTGTGAAGAACTTCCGGAACGGTTTCCACATCTCGACAAAAGAAATGAGGATATTTGATGGTTCCAAAATTTTTGTTACGTTTCGGCTGAACTGCAGCTGGTTTGCGTTCAAACTGTGTGCTATTGCCGAACAAAGACTTTGTGATAATCTACCTGTAGAATAACAGCTGTCCTTCAATCGCAATTTGATTGGTAACCGCTTGCAAACAGTTCGGACTTGTGATGCTTCGCTTCTGGGAAAACTTAGCGATGCACTTCCGTAGAGGTCATTGTTTCAGGTGAATGCAAATTCGGAATAGAACAGCAAAAGATATCTTTCTCAGCACGCAAGCATTTCACAGACTTTCCTCAGCCGAGCACATGGAATATTCAGACGCGCTTTTGTTTTTGAAATGCGTGCATCCCTAAATATAGGTCTTCTCGGTCTTTTCTTTGAACTGACCGGAGGGTTTTCAAAAGTCAGTTTGGGGGTGAAGTTTATCATTTTGGTTTTACTTGATCCTATTTTTATATGGCCCGCGGAATCGTATCGATGATCGATCATGATTAACGGTCTGTATTGGAGATCAGTTATACACGTAACCTTTCTGTTAGGACGGCTTGTCTTTGTTTTCTTCCAGTTTTTGATAATTGCATCTCGACACTAATCGTCATGCAATACCCAGTCTGGAAATATGTCGTCACCCACCGTATTGTCCGTTGCACTAGAAGCATCCAGAGCCAGTAGGTGCCCTGCCCCACTCAAGCCCCTATTCGATTGATGGACATCCTCCACAGTTGGACATAAATACAATTCTCACTTTTTTATCCAGTCTATTTCCAGAGGCGCAGCATACGAAACAGCCAGATCTCCCTATTCCTGATGAGGTCGACGATGAATCCAACGATAGTCTCGATCTGGCTGAGCGAATTCATCGCCAGTTCGTGAATGCGTGTGAAATAGAAGTGACTGAAAAACCGGTTGAACACACTCGCGATTTCAGTGGGGAGGATGTTTCTTTTGTCGAGGGTGATACGGAGCTTGACTCTGATGCTGACAAATTCCAGTGCGATAAGTGCGGCAAAACGCTGCTTACTCACGGCTCTCTGCAGACGGTCCTTCTTCGACACCGCAGGGAATGCTCTTCGGAGGTTTGAAACACTTGTATACATGTACATTTTCAATTTCCCATACACTTCATTCGACTTCATTTTCTGGTTTATGCTAGCGATCTTGAACGAGACATTTTGGATTATGGGAGCGTCATCCTGGCACCATATCAGACTCTCCGTATGCAAGTATTTGCTTGAAGGTCGGTTCTCTCACTGTATTATCTCGGTTCTGCTATGCTTGTTGCAAAAGGTCTCTCCACACCTTCTAGTAGAAAACTCGAATCGACTAAGGATTAAATAGTAAACTTCCGGCAGAAACTTTCCTGGGTGTTCCATTGTCCCTGTCTATGTTCGGGTAATCTGGAATGGTGTCGGTCTCTGGCCTTCCTCACAGTCTTTCGCGCTAAAGATCCCACAAACGAGAATGTTTTCGCACCACAGTTTGCACTCCACAAGTTACTTATCTTAAAGAATATATCCACACCTTTTAGCAGTTTTATGTCGCGTTCAAAGTCCCAACTTGGACACCAAGTATTTCCATAAAGGAAACTACTCACAACGCGACTGAAGACTCTTTGAAAGACCGCTACCGGTTTCACCCTTCTTGGGGCTCATCAGGTAGGCGCAGTCCCCGAGTTTCTGAGTTCTGCTTGTACCCAAATTGGATAGATTGCGATAAATGCTCTCATTTGCGCGTAGTCAAACCCACATCCCTCTATCAGCACCTATCACCATCGTGCCTGGTTGTACTTTCTAGATCAGCACCAAAACGTGTCTCTCCCTTGGATATTTCGATTGCCTGTCATCTACACGGCTGTTACCTGCTTCTTCTTATATCTCCCAGTATGTGTGGAGACCAGTGGTCCCAATGTTCTAGCCAAAGACCATATTCCCATCTAGATCTAGCAGGCTAGAACAGCTTTTGTGAACCTCCATCACGTTAAAATACTGCCCCGAGATGATCTGCATGCTCAGTTGGGGAGGTGCTAGCAATTAAAACGTCGTCTAGATAAGCATAGACAAAAGGCGAACCAAGCAAACCTTCGTCCATGAAACGTTGAAAGGTTTGAGTTGCGTTTCGAAGACCCAAAGGCGTAAGCATGAAATCGAAGAGACCAAACGGCGTTGTAACAGGTGTTTTAGGGATGTCATCCACGGATATGGTCATATGCTCGTGCTAGGTCGAGTTTGGAGAAAATATTTGTGGCATGCGGTGCTTGCGGAATCGTAGGTATATGGGATGGGATGCCCGTCTGGGATAATCTAGTTATTGAGAAAACGGTAATCTCCACAAGGTCTCCAATCACTTTTAGATTTCTTGGGTACCATATGTAGGGGGTGACGACCGGTGACTCAATGAAGTGCGGATGATGCCGAGTTCCAGCATGTGTCCAAACTGGTGTTCATGATCTGGAGTTCCTGTGGATGAAGTCGACGGAGATTGGCATGGACGGGTGGACCTATCGTTTGGATGTGATGAACGACGGAACGCGTGACCGGTTGAGTGTACTGTCATGGGTGAGTAAGGGTAGGAAAGTCCCCAGGGATGTCAGCAAAATGGTAATCAGGCAGGATCCTGGGATACCTGTGGATGAAGTTGGGGCACTAGTTCCGTTGACCAAGAGGGGAGTGAGCACGTCCAAGAGGCGTTTGTGTCGAACATCGACAGATGAGTTGTAGTGGGTTAGAAAGTTTGCGCCAAGGATGGGTGTTTGGACGTCGGAAAATCTACTTGAACGCACGTCGCAATCCGAGGTCAAGGGTGAGGGAACGTTCGCCGTATGCGGGTACCGTTAGCGGCTTGTAACGAATAAGAAGCAGAGCAAAGAACCGGATTCCTATGTGGTAGCACAAACTTCAGCTCTCATGTCGAAGAGGAAACGTAGACCATTTGAATGACCGGTGATGTGGAATAGGCGATCAATGCGTGGGGAACCACAGACAGTCGTCGTCCTTACTGACTGGCCGGGGTGTTTAAAGGGCAGCTGGAACCAACAGGGCGATTGGCATTTGCGTGCTTTGGACCGAAAGATTGGTGATACCAACACTAGGAGGGACGGGAACGAGACGACGATCGAGGCCGTAAACGTCGTCGATGCTCGAGCTGTTGTAGACGATCGGTCAAGGTATTAAATCTAGATTGTAGTTGTGAGATGGCAGAAGGTATTGAAACGGAATCAGTGGATGTGGCTGGTGTAAGATGGGAATCGGAGCTAACAGGGTTACGGGTAGGTCTCGTGGATTTTGCCCGCCATTTAAGCTAGCTGCTCCAGGCTGTGGTCATGAACGAAAGCACTGATGATGTGGGACGCGGGGATGAAAGTTTGTCGAGCCCTAGTTGTACCATGATTTCCATCGTCAGCTTACGGCCGCAGAGGAGACTGCGCATATGGTGAGGCAGTTGCAGTGGCAACCTGTCACTAATTTCGATTGTGGTGACTAAGTCACAGCATCTTTTATTCAGATTTTCCTGTCCTACTAATGACNGTAGGTCTCGTGGATTTTGCCCGCCATTTAAGCTAGCTGCTCCAGGCTGTGGTCATCAACGAAAGCACTGATGATGTGGGACGTGGGGATGAAAGTTTATCGAGCCCTGGTTCTACCATGATTTCCATCGTCGGCTTACGGCTGCAGAGGTGACTGCGCATATGGCGAGGCAGTTGCAGTGGCAACCTGTCACTCAGCATCTTTTATTCAGATTTTCCTGTCCTACTAATGACAGTCGCTTGAAGAACGTCATAGGTGCTATCTTCGGGAATATCTTCTAACAGATCTACTTCTGTTGCTACATCACAAGGATGGTGCTGGACGACATAGGAAAAGTGGGTGGCTTGGGGATTGATAAGTCGGGTAGTGAAAACAGCCTCGGTTCGGTGAACCCACACCCTGGTGTTGCGGGGATTTTAGTCTAGTAAATGGCTGGTAATTGCGTATTCTCGACTTAATCCGATTAATCGACGTGTGCACCCACGATGACCGCGCAAAAGAAAAAACGGCGACTTGAATGAAAGGTTAAAAAATTACCAGAAAGGCTCGGGCTCACCAAATTCGTAGTGGTCTGACTACCCAATAAGTTACTTCACCAGGAGTGTACGGCAAAAAATGAAAATAATACAATATACAATAATAAGGGGATCAGGTGAAACTGACTCTAAGAATTGTTCTCTTTAAAATAGTTCCTTGCTGGCCCGGGTCAGGGAATAAATAACAATCCAACCATGGCTGTCTATGGGTCTTCCTGTGAACAGTTCTAACATAATGAATCCCGAAGATAATGTGAAACGTTTTGATACCAGAGGTAGCACGTGAAACTCGCCAACACCGCTGTAAGAGCGAGCGAAATCGAGGCACATGACCATGTTTATGTTGCGTGTAGTTGTTCAAATGCGCGTCATTTGTAGTATTTCGTATTCAAACAAGAAAACGTTTATGCGATTGACATAGTGCGCAATGTTATACTGGAAGCAAAAAAAGATACCAGATACCGCAAAACAGTTTCTAGGGTTGTTCTATATTCTAGAGAAATTATCGAACTAAAGCAAGATTAGAGCATAGTAATTGAAGACGGGAGTAACGGCATAACGAAGGGAAGGCAAAACTAAAGCGTCCTGCCTGGCATGCGATAAAAAAAGGTGCAAATTTCCGGAACTGAATAATAAAGAGCAAGGATTCTAGAGAGGCAACAGTATTTCAGTGATACGGCTGTGTAAAGCTGGATGTCACGAAGTCAGCGGTAGTCGACGTTCGAGAGGACGGCACGCGTCAGTTCTGAAATGTGCAGGTATACGGACTGGTATTAATGAATCCACACAGTATACACAGCACACATGCGCACAGGTCGGGTGGTACAGGGAAGAAGACCGGAGTGTAGCAACAGCGCACGTGTATAAAACCGAACCGAACCCGGAAGAAGGGGGTGTACAAAAAGGCGGGCCGGTCAAGGTCAGTCAGGGGGGTTGTACCAGCGGCTATTCTTTCCTGTCCGGGGCTCGTGGTGGTTTGACCATGGTACCTGAAACAGGAAGAGAGAGGGGGAGACACATAAGCTCATGTGATAGAC